CACTATGCAGTTCTTGTATACCGATCTCTGGCACCACTTTAGCTAATGGGGCCTCCTGCTGCTGCCACGCCGCCGGAGCACGATTTCTGTTCTCATCCTGAAGCAAAGTTCTTAACCTGAAGCATTATTTCTGGGTTAGCGGAGTATGTAACCCGAAGCATATGTAACCTGAAGCGTATGTAACCTGAAGCGTATGTAACCTGAAGCGTATGTAACCTGAGGTACCACTGTACTCAAGAACCAACACTGGCAGAGTCTGGCAGAAGGAAAACAAGCCTTTAAAACAGAGTTTGAGTTACACAACCTTTTCCTCAGGTTCATTTATGCTGGGTTTTCTGGTCATGTGACTGAGATGAATGGGCTTAGTATCCCTCTAAATTCCCTATCCGCTTGTGCCACCCCACCGTGCCCATGCAATGCCCCTTTTTCCAGGCTTAAGGGCCACTGGAATAGTGGAGGGAAGTGCAGGCTGTTGTGCAGCCAATGACCTGGGACTTCAACTTCCACAAGCCCCAGCAGGCTGAAGCAATAGACATGGGTGATGGAGGTCACAGTGCAACATCATCTGGAAGTCCACAAGTTCATCAGTCTTACTGTAGACAATCCCAAGTTACATGGATCTGTGGGTCTGACTATAAGACCTCATTGTGTGTTCCTATGTTATGATCCATGCTAAGTCATTTCTGAGGATCCCTGTATTGCAGAATTAATTTCCTACTTGTAGCTATTTAACACAGGATTCTGTTATGTTATGTCATTCCTGCATTTGAAAGTAGAGGAAATGAACAGGCAGAAAAGCAGTGTTGTTTCCAGTGGTTAGACACAAACAGATGCAGGACTGAAGCCTGGTTTTCTGTTAAACTGGATGTTGTTCAGCCCTTGCACTGTGTGTCTTGCACAGTAATATATGGCAGTGTCTTCAGGCTTCAAGCTACTTAATTCCAGAAACACCTGACCTTTGGAAGAGACCCTTGTGATGGTGACCCTATTTTGGATCCCGTTGTTATAGTTATGGTCTGCATTATGCCTCATTTCTCCAATCCACTCCAGCCCTTTTCCAGGGGGTCGACGGATTCAGTTTATGCTGGTGTCATAGCAATAGTTATGCAGCAGTGGTGCTGCCAAGGTCCTGAAATCCAGTAAAAACGAATCCCTTGATGGATCATTGATAAGAAATACTGGGGCCTTAGGTAGACTGTGGAGGGATTCAAAGAATGTGCTTTCCTGGTGTTGATTAGGGTGATGTGTGTCACTGTGTGTTTCCTGCTTTGGAAAAACATTTTCCTTTTGCTATGATTTGTTTTGTTGCACCAGCAACCCCTATTCTTCCCTCGAGGGACTAATATAGAGACTTTATGAGAATCGTATTGTTTTCAGTTTGGTGCAATCATTCTAGCTGAAAGCTCTCCAGTGCCACCTGTGGTCTTTGTGTTTAATAGGGAAAGGTTTTTGTGTGAGCTCAAGTTCAGTTTCCAACACTGTGTCTTTCTCTGGCACAGTAATATATGGCTGTGTCTTCTTGCTTCAGGCGGTTCATCTGAAGATAAAATCTGGAGCTGTCCTTGGAGACAGTGGAACGCCCTTTGATGGTTGCAGAGTAGGTATAGCTAGATGATGATTGATAATGAACCAACCATTCCAGCCCTTTCCCTGGAGACTGACGGAGCCAGTGCATGTGAGCACTGCTAAGAGCAAATCCTGTTGTAGAACAAGTGAGCCTCACAGACTCTCCAGGCTCTTTTACTTCTGGCCCCGACTGGGTGAGAACAATCTGCGAACTGGTCCCTGAAGAGAGTAGAAGCGAACATAGGTTAATCAGCTGAATTTGTAAATAAATATTGTGGCTGGATCAGATTATTATTTTTCTTGATTGGCATTTTGCTAAAATAAATGCTACCAAAATGCAATTGCTTGCTCAAAAATATCTGCTGAAAAATTAACTTACAAGAAAGCCCAGTTATGAAGATGAAGGAACTCAATAGCCAGAACATTGTGAACATTGAAACAAGGAACCCTACTGGTGGCTGAAGCAGGTTCCAGGAAATCTTTGTGTGTTGTTACTTTTTTCCTGAGGAGGAGAAAAGTTGGTCTTTTAAAAGGAAGTGAGAGTGTATGAGTTTTACATATTCTGGGCGGGGTGAGGCATAGCTAAGATGAAAAGGGTGGCAGGCAGTGGAGAGAAGGCCAAAATGCTATGGTTTTCCAAGTGAGATATCCAAATGAACTTCAACCATCAGAAATGCACACAAGGGACAATTAATTGATCTCTTTCAGCTTCTGCCTTCTGGAAGAAGGTATAGGGTTATAAAGACCAGGACTAGCTGCCTGAGAAACAGTTTCTACCCAAATGCAATTTTGGTTCTAAACGCAGTATAAGGAGTCTCTATAGTACCGTATATTGTATTTTAAAATGGGTTTCAGAGTTTTCAGGGGGTTTTAAATGTCTTATGTAGATTTTTCAATTTCAGTGTTCTGTATGGGACAATGACAATAAAGATATGGTATCATATCATAATTGGGAACTTCAAGTGAAAGGAATGAAGCTGTTCTTCATTGCAATGGAGCAGTGATGGGTGAGGGAAACTACCAGATTTTGACCCATGAGACAGATCTATCCAGCTCCACAAGAACTGTTGAGTAGAAGAGGCTTGTCATGCTTCAGAGGTTTATCAAAACACTGTCTTCCAGTGACCAACCACTGAGATCTATGGGATCCTCACAAGCAGGACATGAGTGAAATAGCCCTTTCTCTACTTGTGATTCCCAGCAAATGGTATGCAGGGGCATATTGCCTCTAAGAGTGAGGGGGAGAGCACAACCAATGTAAGGTGTAGACATTGATAGGCTTATTCTCCACAAATTTTAAAGCCTCCCAGGTTGTCATAACCCTACCAAAGTGCATTTGTCTGTAGCTGCAGCTTGCCATTGTTTTTTGACCGCCTGGGTTTTTGTGCAGAGGAAAACCACTGTGCTGCCCCATGCTCACAATGCTGAATTCTCGTACATAAAGGCTAAAAGGGGACTAGAGAAACCAGCTGTGTGCTTCTCTCAGGGGAGGTAAATTCAACATGCCTGGGCACACACAGATGTTAATGGCTGATCACTTGCGGGGGAGGGAGAGGGTGGGTTTTTTTTAGCAGACTTGGAGCACCACAACCCCACTTAAGAGCAGGTCTCTTGCACAATAGCACAGGACAATGTTTTCATGCTTGAGGGAACGCACCAGCAGGCTCCTCTGGTTTTCTGTGCCCTGTCATGTTGATCCATCTCCAAAAAGTGCAGTTCTAGCTAGTTAGATAGCAGGGGTGTCAACTTGGATAAAATATTGGAGGTAAGCCCCAGCCCACATGATCAATCATATCATGTGGTGCACACACAACATTTGAATGGCAATGACCATCAGCTTCAGGGAGTTTGGCCTCCTAAAACATTTTATGGGTGAAGGGACATCAGCCTCTATGAGTTGGCTCCTATGGTGCAATGGGAATCAGCAAAACCAACATGGGCTGCCAGACGTATGGATATTCCCAGACATTTTGCCTGGACACTGCTTGAGGATGCAGTTTTCTGGCTACATCTGGGAAATTCCAGACATCTGGCAACCCTATGCATACTGTATCTGTATATATCTGTATCTGAAAAGCCTACAAGCTGGAATATATTTTCAAGCTGTTTGCTGAGCCTGAGACTACTACTTCTACAGCAGTAAAAGATCTGGAACGTCCTCTACTTCCATGTGGTGACTGGTACTGTTAGCAAGATCCACATTTCTGCTGTGTGCCTATCACATATTAGATTCCCAGCGATTTTCCAAGTAACTATGAATAGAATGGTCTTGGTAATAGTAAAATATCTGGTATTGACGTGTACTCCTAGGTCTTTGGTGTGGACACATATAAGCAGCTTTCCCTAACCAGGTGTCATCCAGATGTTTTCATAGAATCGCAGAATTGTAGAGTTGGAAAGGACCCTGAGAATCATCCAGTCCAACCCTCTGCAATGCAGGGATATGCAGCTGTCCCATAAGGGGACCGAACCTGCAACCTTGGCATTATCAGCACCAGGTTTTAACCAACTATCCAGACTGTACTACAACTTTCATCAGCTCTCGTCAGCATGGGGACTGTGGGGGCTGGAGTCTGTCTGTATGTCTGCCTGCCTATCCATCTCTCTCTCTCTCTCTCTCTCTCTCTCTCTCACACACACACACACACACACACGCCAACACAATTTAGATCCATGCAACTTCATGGCTATTGTCAGGGACTGGACTGAAGAGGAATGGTGGAGACCACCTCACCCCTCCTGAACCTTCCCAAGGAGAGGAGGACAGTATAGATTTACAATGGTGATTTGCAGAAGGTCATGATTCTGAGACAGAAGGACAGAGCTGGGAGATAATGGAAGGGGGGGAGGGGGAAGCAGCAGAGCCAGAACAGCTGGCTGACACATTAGAAAGCATTCCAGATCCCCCCTTCTCCTAGAACCAGACGGGCATTGAGGGTAGTAGAACAGAGATCTCTGTGACAGAAAGCTCAGATTAGCCAATGCAGGCATGACGTAGAATAGGAGGGACGTAGGGGGTGCGACTTTACTTGGAACAACATCATTAGTGTGAGAGAAACTGCATTCTTTTGTCTCCCGCTGTGATTAGTGAATAAACTAAGTGGTAAGAACTCTTCATTGTTTTTCTCTGCTTCTTGCTGCCACCAAGGGAGGGATATAATTCCCTGAAACCTGACAGCTATGCAGAATGTCATTATGTACGTACATAAATTATCATTGATGATTACAAATTTTGATAGGAACATACTTCTGAAATTCAAGGTTGCTGCGTTTAAAGCAAGGCTATTGCAATACGAATACTGTGGAATTGAATGCACCAGTGGTTCAGGAAATGAAATGTCTATAAAGAGGGTTCCCTTTCCAGCTGCAGTGCACAAAAATACACGTATCACTGGTTTTCCAGAAGAGTAGTTTTTGCACGGCCTGTGAGAGACATTTTCTCTCAGTGTGTCTCTTGCACAGTAATACATGGCGGAATCTTCCAGTTTCAGGCCACGCAGTTGCAGGAACACCTGGTTTTTTGAGGTGTCTCTTGTGATAGTGATACGGTTCTGGAGTCCACTGTTATAGTTCACATTTCCATTGGACCAGATTCGTCCACTCCACACCAGCCCTTTCCCAGGGGCCCAGTGGGCCCAATCCATCAGACTGCTTGCTACAGAAAATCCAGACACTGTACAAGTCAGTTGCACGGTCTCTCCTGGCCTCTTGACACCACCACCAGACTCTGTAATGGTAACCTGGGATAAAATACCTGTATAGGAGGGGAAAAAAATAAGGAAGAATTAAGAAGAAGATGGCTATACAGGGAATCAATTGCTTGCAGAATTTCCTTACATGCAGGGAAGATCATTAGGGAAATGGTCAAGAGTGTTAATTCCATGACTTGAAAGGTTGGCAATAACTCATAGGACCTGAAGGGGAGCTGTATTCTTGCTGAGAAGCTTTGCATGCTCTGTTTCCTTTAATGAAGTCCAAAACTAAGAATCATTTGCATGATAGCACAAATGCCACTAATAAAGGAGAAACCTCCAGGATCTGACTAGAAAGGTAAAGGTAAAGGACCCCTGGACGGTTAAGTCCAGTCAAAGGCAGCTATGGGATTGTGGTGCTCATCTCACTTCAGGCTGAGGGAGCTGAGTCATGTGCCCAGCATGACTAAACCGCTTCTGGGGCAACGGAACACTGTGATAGAAACCAGAGCACACGGAAACACTGTTTACCTTCCCGCTGCAGCAGTACCTATTTATCTACTTGCAGTGGTGTGCTTTCGAACTGCTAGGTTGGCAGGAGCTGGGGCAGAGCAATGGGAGCTCACCCCCATTGTGGGGATTCAAACTGCTGGCCTTCCAATCGGCAAGCCCAAGAGGCTCAGTGGTTTAGATCACAACGTCACCCACATCTATGAGGCACCAAAAGCATCAAGTCCACATCTCCTCCTGCATCTGCCCTGCAATGTACAGATGTATTAGCAGAGATAGGACATCATACCATCCTGGCTGGAATCCAGGACTCTGAACTACTCTGTCTTTGGAAACAAGCGCACACAATTGAATGTGGGTTCACAATAGAATAGGGTTACTGGTAAAACCAGAGGTCAGCAACCTTTTACAGCTGTGGGATGGTCCACCGTCCCTCAGTCCATGTGGTGGGCTGGACTATATTTTGAAAAAAATAATAATGAATGAATGAATTCCTATGCCCCACAAATAACCCAGAGATGCATTTTAAATAAATGGACACATTCTACTCATGTAAAAACATGCTGATTCCTGGACTGTCCATGGGCCGGATTGAGAAGGCGATTGGGCCACATCCGGCCCCCGGGCCTTAGGTTTCCTACCCCTGGGTAAAACCATGCAAAAAGTCCTCTGAACTAGTAAGAGATTTCTTCATCTAGTTGTTTCTTGTGGTTTTCTTCTTCCTGCATCAGTAGCAGCTTTTCTGTCAAAATAGGAGATCCTAGACATCTGCTTCTTGTGGCAAAATTTTATTTTTATTCTCTCATCCTGCTGTGCTTTCTACTGTGTGTGTGTGTGTGTGTGTGTGTGGTTTTTATTCCTAGGTCATTGTCCTTAGTTGCCCGAATACACGGAACACTCTGCTTTCTACTGCAGAAGGTTTTTTGACAAGAAGCAGGATTTTTTTAAAAAATTGGTCAAACAAAACTGAAGCAGATCAGAAGTCCCAAAGGGGTGTTACAAATGCTATAATGACAGGATGTTTTGCTGAGTTTCCAAACAAGATCTCAATGACTGATCCATAAATAACCCTCCAGGGAACCTTGTCCCTTTGCCAGCTTCACCATGGGTATTTTTCAGAGCTCAGATTCACTCTGCACCACTGTGTTCTCTCGCACAGAAATACATTCCAGTGTCTTCAGCTTTCAGGTCTGTCATACGCAGATCAATCCACTGATTGGACATATCCATGGAAGTTGTGAATCGGCCTTTAACAGAATCTCCATAATATGTGGTACTTCCTGAAACCCTTGACACCCACTCGAGCCCCTTTCCTGGAGCCTGACGGACCCAGCTCATCCAGTAGCTGGCTATACTGAAGCCTGATGTTGTACACATAAGCCGAAGAGAATCTCCAGGCCTTTTCAGGTCTCCTCCATTTTCTACCAGAGAAATGTCTGACAAAACACCTAGGAAAAGGGACAGAGTTACAAATCTCCCTGAATACATTCTCAGCAAGTCCAAGTCATATCACTGCAACAAAAGGGAGGAATTACCTTTGAAAGCTGAAAGAGTTAAGAGGAGATGGATCCAAGTAATCATTCTTATTGGATGGTTTTCACAGAAATTCTCCTTGGGAAGACTAGTAGCTACAAGGGAACGATGGTTATTTCTGCAAGATCAAAGTCTAGGGCAGGAGGGAGGGAGTTTTAAAGAATGGACTGAATCAATATTTGCATATCCTCTGCTATATAAGACACCGCCAGTCCATGAAAAACTTCAACTCCCCCCCCCCCAAGAAGGGCTTAGCAATCAAAGAATTGTGTCCCCAGAGACAGGGGTCATAACTCATAACAGGGAGGACAAAGAAAGCTGTTGAATGGAGGTGACTATATAATTCCTAACAGTTCTCAGTCCATATCATAGCTCCCACAACACAATTTCACATTAACAACAACTTCTTTTTCTTCTTCTTCTTCCTCCTCCTTCTCCTTAAACTTCATATTGCTTTAGATAAGCCTCAATCCAGGAATTTCTTGTGACCAGGTTACTTTGTCTGGTGGCTCAGGGCCCAGATAATTGAATCAAAATTGGAGAACCTAGAGATCTGCAAAATTCAATTTACCTCCCGTTGTGGTATCTACTACTAGGCTGTTGTGAGCAATCGCCCAGCATCATAGAGTATGAGCACCACCATCTGCCATGAACACAGGTGGGTGTCCTAGCATTGTGTGTCTCTAGCACAAAAATACATTGCAGTTTATTTGAGTGACCAGGCGGCGACCGCCCCAGCCCCCAGGGACCACCAGAAATGAATAATGACTCTGACAACATGTTATGGAATTAAAATTTGGCCACAACTTTATTAAACTCTCAAATGTAGGAAGACCTTGGCTTAGGCATTGGGCGTGTAGCCTTCCAAGCCCCCCAGCTGGGGGAACTGGGGCTCCTCAGGTTAATTGGGATATGGGGGTGCTCTGCAAGATGCATGTGTATGCAGGCAGCCCACCCCAAACCCCACACACAGGGTAATTCATTGACAACCTTTCAGTGTATGGCCAGTGACACCCATATTACAACCCCTTTAAGAGGGAACCCTGGAATCATCGCAGCGGGGCGGGGGTGAGTCACCACCTCCCCCCCTCCCCCCCAATTTTCGGGATGAAAAGACAAAAGGATTCCGCCCAAGGCCTTAAACCACCAAATTTGTGACGAATTGCTATGGGGAAGACAAAACCTGCCAATGCAGGAAAATTTGTTTCCGATTCTTCAACAGCAACAAGTCAAAAGACTGTAGCAGCGCCCACTAAACAGGAAGAAAACTGTTAACCTGCAAACAAGAAACATTAAACAAAGGGAGGGTTGGGTGGGTGAAGCTCCTGAGCCGACTGCCTGGCTACTGCTGGCTCCACCCTCTATTTATGCCACTGGCCCCACCTCCCAGCAGTGTAAATTGACTAACTGAGGCTGGGCATGAACCTCCAAATAATAACACTCAGAGGGAGGCCAGCCCATACAACCAGTAAGTTCCCTGGGGTCCGAAGCAACATACAGAATCCCGCAAAGGGCACCCAGAGTGTAAAGTGTGAGTTTTCATTGCAGGTAGAAGCTGGAGCTGTCTTTGGAGGAGAGTATCACATTTGAATTGTGGGAGAGTAAGCATCATAATTGCTTTTTATTTCAAAACCATTCACAGTGAATTTGAGCAGGATTCTTCAGCAGATTCTTCAGGTCTTTTGATATTCAAACTTGACTGGGTAAGTATAACCTGAGCGTAGGCCTCTGAAGGAGCAAGAGAAAATCCTTAAATTATGGCACTGAGAAGCCATTTAATCACCAAACATAATGTTTCATAACTTATTGTTAGTTTCCACGGATAATCTATTATGGGAAATGGCATACCTTCCAATTGCCCTGTTTTAAGAAAGACGACCCAGCTTTCTTTGAAGGCGCCTGGGGCTCTGCCTTTGTTCCAGGGCACCCCAATTGCATGGGAACTATGGCAGCAGCTCCCACAGAGGCAGCAACATTGGGAAGGTGGCAGGAGAACTGGAGCCTTCTGGTCTCCTTGCCAAATATGGGCAAGCACTTTCTGGGTTTGGGGAAGGAGGTGGGAGAGCTCTCGGACACTCTCAGAGCCCTCCTGCCTCCATTCCTAAGTTGGGTAAGCTCTTAGTGAGCTTGGGGAAGGAGGCATGAGACTCTAACAGGATCCTGGAGCCCTCTTGCCTCCTAGGATTCTGTGCATCACCTTCCCAAAGTCAAGTGTGCTTGGGGAAGGAAGCAGGAAGGTTCTTGGTCCCTCCCCATAAGCATGAGATACCCCACCCCTGAGTTCAGAGATTCATTTGAAAATATGGCGAGGAGCCCAGTCTGCAGTTCTTTATTTGCAATTCTAGCTTGTCACACAGAATGGCAAAGTGGTGCTTGGATGGTGTGGGACATCTTGAATTTGTCACTGTGGAAACAGATGGGATGTATAATGAATTGCTTTCCAAGTGTTGTTCGCAAGCCCATGAAAGAGAAGCGCATGCTTCTTGTACTGCCACTTACAACATTTTCCTCATAGCGTGGTTCTCTTCCACAATAATACCTTCCTGCTTCTTTGGGCTTCAGGCCATAAGTTGCAGGGTCACCTGGCTTTTTGAGGTGTCTCTTGTAATGGTAATGCGGTTTGAGAGAGCACTGTTATAGGTAGCGTTTCCATTTCTCCACATCATTCCCATCCACTCCAGCCCCTTTCCCAAGGGTTTTCGGATCCAGTGCACCTGGTAACTTGTTAGAGAAAATCCAGACACTGTACAAGTCAGTCTCAGAGTGTCTCTTGGCATCTTAAGGCAATCACCGGTCTCTGTAAGAGTAATCTGGGATGAAATACCTGTACAGTGGTGCCTCGCAAGACAAAATTAATCCGTTCTGCGAGTCTCTTCATCTTGCGGTTTTTTCGTCTTGCGAAGCACGGCTATTAGCGGCTTAGCGGCTTAGTGGCTATTAACTGCTTAGCGGCTTTAAGAAAAAGGAAACAAACTCGCAAGAACTCGCAAGACGTTTCGTCTTGCGAAGCAAGCCCATAGGGAAATTTGTCTTGCGGAACGACTCAAAAAACGGAAAACTCTTTCGTCTTGCGCATTTTTCGTCTTGCGAGGCATTCGTCTTGCGAGGTACCACTGTATCAGAAAGAAAATATGGGGAGGAAAAAATATATGAAAAATATTACACAGGAAAGTGCCAGATGGCCCATATGAAGGGGGAAATGGAAGATTTTCTCACATGCTGGATATACCATCAAGAAGCTTATCAGAAACTTCAGTTCCATGTCTTCACTTGATGGCAAACACTCCCACAGACTTGAAGTGGAGATGAATTAGATCATAGACATCAAATACGGCATCCGTATTTGAAGACATCTACATGTGGCTTCTTTTTAATAAAGAGCACACCAGGAAATCATTTGCATAAGATCATAAGTGTTACCAATATTAAGCAATGAACAAATAAGAACTTACGCAATAGGTGAAATGATGCATGCCTAAAAAGTGTGTCACCAACATGAAATGTTTGGAAAGCTCTGATCTAAAGGCTGTCACATGGAAGATGGAGCAAGCTTGTTCTCTCCTGTTCTGGAGCGTAGCCCAAGCCAATGGATTCAAGTTACAAGGAGCTTCTGAGTAAGCATCAGGAAGAACTTTCTGGTTGTAAGAGTTGATTGACAGTGGAATGGACTCCCTTGGAAGGTGCTGGACCTTTTTTATTGGAAATTTTCAAGCAGAGGTTGGATGGCCACATGTCATGGATGCTTTAGTCGAAATTCCTGCATTGCAGGGGGTTGGACTAGATGACCCTTGGGGTAACTTCCAAATCTACAATTCTGTGATTCTATGAAAAGAACTATTTTAAGGGGGAAGAGGGGAGATTTGCCTTAGCAACAACCAGTTTCATTCTTTGCTTTGGGCTGACACAAACAGAACGGAAATAAGGTTAGATGGCACCCAGGGAAACTTCACCACATATGTAAGAAACACACACACACACACAAATGTGCATCTTCGGACAAGTAATATACAAGTTTGTTTATTTATCTTCCCTTATCTGGTTATTTGCCGATCAGAGAAATCCTAATTTGGGTGTGTGTGTACAGGATTCCACTTGTGGGAGGAGGAAATAATATGGATGCTACACATACAGTAGAGACACAATCAGCTTCAAATCCCCATTCACTGGACCAAACCCATGGCAAATTCCCAAAATGAATATCATGATCTGCATGTCTAGCCTTAATTTGCAGATTAGAACTGAACTATCCAATAGCTTTCACATTAATGTGTGTCTCGGAGCTTTAAATATAATGAAATAAATATTTAGAGGGCGTGGGAAATAAGAATGTATATAAATATTAAAATAAAAGTATAAATATGCATTTGAATAATTTTCTATTTTAAAGGATTCTCTTCTTCATGCCTTGAAACAGTTCTTCCTTTGGATAGGGAGAACCCAGACATCTGCTTCCTGTGAAAAAGGAGATTTCTCTCTCTACCATCTCTTCCGGTTATGGTTTCTACTGCTTAACCCTTGCGTTCAATTGCGCATGAAAATGGAACATGAGCGCCGCCGCCAGGCAATATTTTTCTGTGGCTACACTACAGAAGGTTTTTGACATGAGCCCAGAAGGGTTTTCTCTCACTGTGCGCCGTCTTTAGTACAGTAATACATGGCAGTGTCCTCTTCTCTCAGGTTGTTCATCTCCAGGTAGAAGCTGTTTATGTCTTTGTAGGCTGTGAACCGACCTCGGAATGCAGAAGACTGAGCTTCTTTTCCTGGTATCCTGAACCGAGACAACCCTTCGAACGTCTTTCCGGGTGCCTGCCTGAGCCAATCCATGTAAAAAGTTTCCATAGCAGCATTCAAGCCATTCACAGTGCACTTGATCTTCACCGAGTCTCCAGGCCTTTTGATTTCTAGACCTGACTGAGTGAGAGTCATCTGAGAATAGGCTCCTGAAAAGGGGGCATTAAAGCAGGAGAGTAACAGATTAAAAATAAATAAATGCTTAAATTACGACAAGGAGCAGCTGTTCAATTCCCCATCCTCAAATACATTCCGGAACTATTTGCCAATCTCCAGAATATATTTTGCTTGTAGAATGTACAAAGAAGCATACCTCCCAAAGCTGATAGAATGAAAAGTAGGTGTAGTAAAATCATCTTTTTTCTCTGTCTCTTCCTCCTGTCCTGTCTTTTTAAATGACTTCTCTGGGAAAAGAATGACTCAAAAGGCCAAGGGTGAAAAACAAGATGAACCCACAGCAGAAAGAGGCTTTATCAAGTACTCCATGAGACTCTTTGCATATGGTCCCCCATTTAAAAGGCATAACGAAGGCCACACCATTTGCATGATGCCCTCTGTGCTACTCAGGGGCGTAGTGCCATTCACCAGCAGCTTGGGCCGGGGCAGAGTGCGTTCTTCCAACTTTGCCACTGACACTGCTGGGTAGACGCTCACAGGCAGGGCATAGGGGGTGAAGAACAGGGGTGGGACACAGAGCATGATCTTCACCCTTCACACTCACCCAGCCCTCACTGCCGGAGCCAGGCAGGGCATGATAGGGAACTCTGAGCGGACGGCATGCTACACGGAGCCTTCATGGAGTCCGCCTGCCGCCTCCTCCTCAGCTGCAAGGCAGCTGAGGGGAAAGCGGCAGGCAGATGCAAGCCCCACGATGCCATGTTGGGCAGCACGGAGCTTGCATGCAGTCTGCCCGCTGCCTCCCCCTCAGCCGCCCTACAACTGAGGGGGAGGCAGTGGGCAGATGCATGCCCCACACTGAAGCTTTGGGCAGCATGGAGCCTGCAGGTGCCTAAGCCGCTGCGTCACTCCCAGAAGAGACATGTGGCTCAGGCATGCCACAGGCCAGGCCTTGCGTTAAGTGCCACCCCTGCGAAGTGGCACCCAGTGTGCCCCTCTGCCACGCTCCCTAGCTATGCCTCTGTGTAATTGGTAATTTCTATGGAGCTGCAAAAAGCTCCCACTCCCCAGGTCTCATAGGACCAGGAGAAGTACGAAGCAGGAGGAGCAAAGGCAAGCACACCAGCGTAGTCTCAGATTGCTTGGGAAAGACGCGGGAGAGGATGAGACTTAGGAAGCTGTGATAAAGCCTTCCGTCTTCACAACTGCCTCACAGGGGCAAGATCTATTGAAGAATAGTTGCTGTGCTCATTAGGCCTGACACTCCTGAGCAGATCCTGTTTCTTCTAATAAAGAGTTATCTTCGCTTACTCTGTGTGATTTATTCCTGGCTCACTCTAGCTTGCTTCTGATACCCACCTTCAATTGCCTTTCTTTAGCAGAAAATAAGTTTCTCTCTCTCTCTGCTTAGCTACCAGTGGAACAAATATGCTGAATTTTCAATGCCCAGATCCTGTAAACGGTAAAATCTAAAATGAATATCGTGCAAGGCTGTTTGGGCCAATTGGGGCAGTTGGTGCGATTCCTGGGGCCTATAAAAGCGGCAGCGTGATGTAACTGGGGGCACTTGCTTCGTGCTGCCGAACACCTGCCTTCCTTTCCTAATTTTAGGTAGTGCTGCTTTGGCCTTGCTTTGGATTGGGTCGCCTGTTTTGGAACAGGGGCTGGGTAAGAATTTTTTCCATTTGGCAGATTGGCTGTAGCCACTTGGTTTGCTTACCCCTTAGCAATCGTCACAACTTTGTAAGATTTGGCGGTTAGGCATTGGCTTATTGAAATATGGGTGTAAAAGTGGTTTTCCCCTTCCTAGTAACACTCCAGCACAATCAGTGTGATATTTACAGTCTTTATTACATATATACAAGAACAGCTACAGTTCAGAATTACGCATCCAAACCCGTTGAGTCAGATTCAGGGAGCGACTTCCTACAATCCTCGTACCAACAAAGTAGACGTGGGAATCGCGTGAGATGTCTTTGATCCTTACGTTTCACTTCCCTCCTTGTCTGTGCTGATTTGAAAGGCCCCTCCCTTCCTGAGTCTGAGCTTCCTTCCCAAGCCTCTGGATGGTTGCAAGGCTCTCCAGCATCCCTGAGCCCCTGCTCTCCATGGCTACTCTCCGCCCTCTCTTCCTCTTCCTCTGTCTCTGGGTTGTTGCAGGGCTCTCCAGCATCTCTAAGCCCCTGTTCTCCCTGACTGCCTCCCGGGTCATCTCCCTGTCTTTCTCTTCTGTCCATTGCTCCTCAGAATCCTCCCTGACAGTGGGGGATGGGAGTTGCAGCCATCACCTGCTCCTCCAGGAATAGGGTAGTCTGGTAAAGGAATCTAGGGGTCCTGGATCTTGTCCGAAGTCTGCTTGAGGGGCTAGGGCCATGCCAGGACCACAGGAGCCCCGGGGTGAGCTTTGGTCAGTCACCATCGATGTTGCTCCCTCGTTTGATGTTTACCCTTTCAGACTACCAGCCAAAGAGGCAGGAGTCAGTTATAGTCTGTTGCCAATGCCTAAGCCAACACCGCTCACTTTGCTGTAATCAATAAAGTTGTGGCCTAAATTTTGCCCAATAACTTAAACTTACTTAAACTAAAATTACATGCCAGTGTGAAGTTATTTTCAGGGGAAGGCCTTGGGGGCCTAGAAGTGCAACGTGCAGCACATTAAGATTAACCTTTTTCTTTTAAGTGTCAGAGCTGTAATGGCTCATTCACTCATGCGTGCCAAACATTAATGGTGATTTTCATTTATCACCTGCTATTCACCTCAAGGTCCCAGGGCATGTCCTAACAATTTAAAATAGCAGCATTAAAATCCAGTTTGAAACAAATAACTATTTAACTATTTTTTAAAAATTACCCTGCATTGAATGGGCTAGGACTAGATGACCCTTATTGTCCCTTCCAACTCTATAAGTCCTTGATTCTGTAAGAAGAATAGAGTAGGTCTTAAAACGCATGTGTCTCAGGTTTTAGAGGACAAGGTAAAGAGGTGCATCTTTGGCACATGATGAAAAGTGTATAATGAAGGTGCCAGACACATGTCTGTGTAAAGACATTTTCATAGTTTAGGGGATGCCACAAAGAATACCATCTCCCAGGCCATCCCTCCCCGCAAAAAATAAAAACAAAATTGGGGAGCTACCAAAATGGCCACCTCGGCCAATGTTAACAAATGAGAGAGTCTGTTATGGTATGTTCTCAGTATTCATGTGTGAAATTGTGGTGAAATAGTCCCTTTAAGATTATTGTGCGGGTCGTATGAGAATTTGTTAGGATTCCTGGAATAATGAGCCTAAACACAGATGCCTCTCATTAAGGCCTCAAGGCCAATGTCAGATAGTAATCAAAGATACATAATTGGAGAAGGTGCTGATTTCATTGGGTGGAAGGGTTGAACAGCCATAGTCAGTGTTTTCTTAAAACCTTGGTTGGGGTGAGCATACAGAAATCTTAACATGGACGGTCAGCACCTGTTCGGACTTTAGAGGGTATTTTGCTTGTTGCTCAGCCTGCTAAGATTTATGCTTAAGTGTTTCTGTAGGCTAGGTAGATAAGATAGTTTCGTTATTTTTTAGCCTCTTAATTTGTGTAATTGTTCGAAGCTTTTCCTTTTACAGAGTTTTGTTTTTAATAAAGTTTCTTGTGTATTTTTATGGATATTGGTCTTGCTTGAGTTTCTGAACCTTCCAATCTAGACTGCACTTTTCGATTTTTGTATCTTTTTGTAAAATCAATAAATACTATATAAAAAAATATTTTAAAAAATAGACTGCACTTTTCGAAGAGGGCCATTCATCACAGAAATAGCCTAAAGATGATGGATTGCTTTAAAAAAATGAAAAGCAAAAAGTCTGCAGCAAACGCCTTCCCCTTTTTGTACAGTTCTCCTTTGCTTTGTCTCACTGTGGTCTTCGGGCACAGTAATATGTGGCTGTGTCTGCAGCTGTCAGGGACCTCAGTTCAAGGTAATACTCATTGCTGGAGGCATCTGCAGAGAGTGTGATCCGTCCTTGAAGAGATGGGGCATAGTCTATTCGCCATTTAGAGCCATCCCAATCTATTTCTCCAAGCCATTCCAGTCCTTTCCCTGGAGATTGGCGGATCCAGTCCCACCAGCTGCTGCTAACAGAATAACCACTAATAATGCAGGTTAGCCTGAAGGATCCTCCAGGCGTTGCTGTTCTTGGCCCAGATTCCATGAGCTGAACACTGGAGCGAACATCTAAAGTCAATGACAAGGGATTTTTGTTAATGACCGACATTCAATTCCAATACATTTCATTCTTCACATTTACCTGGTAGATACTCACACAGTGGAGCTGTTAATAAGGAAAGAAAAAGAAAGGGGAGCTTCATGGTGTGTAATAAGAGAAACAGTTTCCTCTGATGTGGTGATTGTTAGTCTACAACCAACTCTAAAAAATATATGGTGTGTTTAGGTACTTAAAAGGAAATTTATTAATACAGTGGATTTGCATGTGATTTTCATCTTGCCGAAGATGCCAGTTTAAAAGAGACACCCCTCCCATGGGTTTGAGAGATACTAGTGGTTTTCTCAAAAGAATCGGGCTGCATCAGCAAGCCAGTGCTTTTGAGTTCTCCCCCATCCCCAATTTTATGCAATGTTGTGTGCTTTTAATTTTTGTAAGTCAAGTTGAAGACATCTTCTATGTCGTGATTAAAAGTAATAGTCCTGCTTAGAGTAGACTCAGGGTAATGAATAAGCCCAAGTTGGGGATGTCCATTAACTTCATTTGATCTACATTGAATAAGATTATTCTTAGGTCATACAACCAATTATTTACAGTGACAGCTTTTGTATTATTTTTTTGCCATTGTCTCTTCAGCAGTGAAAGCATTGGAACACCTTTTATGGCCTGCAAATCTCTTGCTGCCACCTTCATACCTGGATGCCCCAGACATGCCATCATTCTGAAGAATTCTGAGGGAAGGGGAAATGACAGCTGTCACAAAAACCATGACTACCATTCATTTTCCCACAATGGTGTGTGCGCGCACGTGTGCGTGTGTGCGTACGTGCGCGTGCATGCGTGCGTGCGTGTGTACAGTGGTACCTTGGTTCTCAAACTCAATCCATTCTGGAAATCTGTTCAGCTTCCAAAACATTTGCAAACCAAGGCATGTCTTCTGAGTGGCTGATTGGCCCTGGAAACAATGCTAAAAGCCAAAATGGATGTTTGGCTTCCAAAAACATTCGCAAACCGGAACACTTACTTCCGGGTTTGTGGCGTTTGGGAGCCAAGCCATTCAGGAACCAAGGTACCACTGTGTGTGTGTGTGTGTGTGTGTGTGTGTGTGTAAAACAAAAAACAAACTAATCTATATTAGAAAAAAATAAAGAGAAAGAAAGAGAGAAGAAAGTGCAAAGTCCTCTCTCAAAGGTAAATCTTAATCCTTGTTTCACACAGTGGACCCTGCCAGCTCTCACCTGGGAGCTTCCCTTTCTTCTCCCAGACTCCCACCCTTGGAGATCTTCCCTTCCCTGCCTCTCACACAGGGTCCTTCACCAGCAGGGCATTATACCTTCATGTGCATACAATTCCCCCAGTAACCCAGAGTAAAAAAGGTAAAGGGACCCCTGACAATTAAGTCCAGTCATGAACGACTCTGGGCTTGTGGCGGGCGCTCATCTCACTTTACAGGTTGCGGGAGCCGGCTTTTGTCCTCTTCCACAGACAGTTTTTCCAGGTCATGTGGCCAGCATGATTAAGCTGCTTCTGGTGAAACCAGAGCAGCGCACAGAAATGCCGTTTACTTTCCTGCCGGAGCAGTACCTATTTATCTACTTGCACTGTGTGCTTTAGAACTGCTAGGTTGGCAGGAGCTGTGACCGAAGAACGGGAGCTCACCCCGTTGTGGGGATTCAAACCGTCGACCTTCTGATCAGCAAGCCCAAGTGGCACAGTGGTTTAACCCACAGCGCCACCTGCATCCCAGAGTAGTGGACACCAAAAGAAACAAAACAGAGGGATTTATTTACAATTAAGCGGTGCATAAACTTATTACTTATTACTTTACATTCATTCATTTATTTATTTTTTAAAAAACTTGTTTTTCTAGATTTATTGGTATCAGTAGTGCAAAGTCAAACAAAGCCTGAGATATCTGTCACAAACTGACCTGAATCACCGTATAAATACATGGTGACAACAGTTGTGCAAATAATTTCAAAATCTCAAATGGTCACATTTCTTTTGAGTGCTGTGAAAGGAGGATTCTGGACTTGTTTGAACCTTGGCCTGATCCATCAGCTGGGCTCTTCTTATATATATATTTGTCTCTTCATGGGAAATGCAGGACAACATGGAACACACTGACATCTATCCCACAGTTGAAAATGTTATTCTGTTGATGTTTTCCACATCTGTCTTCCAATGAGGTTCAAACCCTCATCCCTCTTTTTAGAAATCAGATGGTGTTTTCCAGCTGAACTCTGCTGGGCTACGTGTATCTGTGCTATATGCATTTGTTTATGGTTTGCCTCCTGTTTTTGCTGTGTGTCTACTTCCCCCTTGCCATGAAAAGAAAAAGTGTAGTCAAGAAGACTGAAGATTTTGCCCACTGACTGCTAGTTTTTCAATCACTGTGTCTCTAGCACAGTAGTACAAGCCTGAATCTTCCACCTTCAAACCACTCATCTGCAAGTAGAGTGTGCTGATGGAATTGTCCCTGGAGATAGTAAATCGACCCTTAACTGAGTCAGCATAGTGTGTAGAAGTGGTAGCAATATAGGCAATCCATTCCAATCCCTTTCCAGGAGCCTGTCGCACCCAGTTCATGTTGTAGCTGCTGAAGGTAAACCTAGAGGTTCGGCAGGTGAGGTGGAGGGACTCTCCTGGCCTTTTTACGTCCCCTCCAGATTCTTCCAGTTGAATCTCTGATTGGACATCTATAAAGAAAGAGGTGCTATAAATTTCACTTCAGATTAATTATACCTGAACCTGTAGCCCTATAGTCGTTGTTGGACTCCCATCACCCCCCACCAGGAATGCCAGCAGTCCAGAATTATGGGAGTTACAGCAGACTAATGGCATCTGAATGGTCACAGGTTCCCTGTCCCTGCATTAGCCCCTAGAGCATACTGATCTTTTGCATGCTAATTGCATCTAATGGATAATTACCTCTGATGGCTGCTGAAAATAAAACAAAATAAATCCACAGAAGCATTTCTCGGTGATGTTTTGAAGCAAATTAAGAAGAAACTTGACACTGGCTAACAGGGTTGTGAATCTCTAGACATGTATCTCTTATAGGTAGGGAAGGTGTGTGGCTGATTTATAGAGGAAGCTTGGCCACATTTACATAAAGCTCAGGATAAAAGAGCAACACAGCCTCTCCAGCTTTCATGATTGTGGAGAGACGATTGGCCATCGCTTGCTGTTTCCATGAGATGGCATTGGGCAGTAATGATTATTTCCATGTATATCATTGAAAATCAGGTTTAGGTTAAAATTTACTTGGACTAAAAGTACATTAGGTCTGCAATGGAAGAATACAGTGTGGTGTAGTGGTTAAGAGCGATAGTCTCGTAATCTGGGGAACTGGGTTCTCATCTCTGCTCCTCCACATGCAGCTGCTGGGTGACCTTGGGCTAGTCACACTTCTCTGAAGTCTCTCAACCCCACTCACCTCACAGTGTTTGTTGTGGGGGAGGAAGGGAAAGGAGAATGTTAGCCGCTTTGAGACTCCTTTGGGTAGTGATAAAGCGGGATATCAAATCCAAACTCTTCTTCTTCTTCTTATATCTGGCTTGAATAGCTTTCAGGTAAATTTAACCTGGTCAGTCCAACACAGACCAAGATCCCTGAAATGGAAGAAACAGGAAAAAGCTATGGGATGCATCTTTACAAATGACCCCTGGAAAGATGACATACAAGCAAGTCAATAGGCACAAGACCTTGTTCCGGTTCCCATTTCTTGATGAAGAGGTTTTCTCAATGTATACACTAATTTCACTTTAGTCTATTGTTCCTTGCACAGGTGAAAAGGGGAGCAGTGGAGAGGTTTGGACCTTGGGAAGCCAAGCTCTTGGATAGAGATGGGGAACCTCAGGTCCAAGGGTCAAATATGGCATGCCAAGCTTCTTTGTCCCATGCACTCTTCCCATGCCACCACACCCTCTCCTTGGGCCATGCCCCTCCTTGGGCCTTGCTTCACATCTCCATTGAGTGTCTTTCTCTGGATGGATTGTGTTTTGCTATGTGGCCTGCAGGACCTTGTCACTTCTAGGTCTGGCCCATCAGCCAGATCCACTTCTCTCCCCACAGGATGCTCTACCACTTGGGATAACATGGGGATATTCTGTGTGATATATCTGGAGAATCTTTATTCAAAAGAATAGCAAAAGAACAGCAGGAATGTTGCATTGTGTATTCCATGAGTGGTTTGAAAAATGGAGAAGCTGAAAGAGGATCCTGTTTGGGGCTGGTGCACACAAAAAACCCATGCAAGACTGGCCCCTCATTTTCTGGAGGGTAGCTTTTGTACTGCCTCTTAGAGGAATTTGCTCAGTGTGGGTGCATCTTTCGAACAACAATACATGGCAGCCTTCAGGGAGTTGAGTTGCAAGAACACTTGATTTCTGGCAATGTCTCTTGTGATGCTGATCCGATGTACAGGTCAGCTGTAGAGTCTCTCCAGTTTGTTTCATTCCACCACCTGCTACTGCATAAGACTGTGGTGAGATACCTGCATTACAGGAAAGAATATATAGACAGTAAAAAATGCATATGAGTAATAGGTAGCACATCATCAAGATTGTCATCTGCACAGAAGAAGAAATTAACCCCTTCTTACATGCAGGGATGCTCATTAAGATACTTATCAAGAGCTTCAGTTTCATGATTCTGATAGATGGTATTAACTCCTATCACTGGAAGAACCTTGAGTTGCATCAAACAGGCCACACAATACAATCATTTGCATTATGCCATGAGTACTACTCTTATAAGAGACTTGAAAAATGCAAACCTCCTCCCCACACCACTGAATCATCCAAAGAATTGCTCTGTAAAAAAAGATGTAGGAGGAAATGTCACTGGACATACAGTTTCCGTGGCTCCCAGAACCAACAGCTTAAAAATTAGGCACAATTGCAACATATACTTTAAATAGCATTATTGTTATTGAAACACTGGCTCTATGTTTTTATGCAAATTCATTGGAATGGGTAAGTTTAATGTAATGTGATCTTGCCAGTCT